TTTAGACAAAATAAAAGAAATCGAAAAGTACTCTCCTGAATATACTTAATACATGAATCCATATGCCTTCATCACTTCTCATAACTGACTCAGCACAATTTTTTTTTACCGCCCACTTTTCTCCTCTCCAACAACGAAAGTAATAATCAACCTTGTCGATACAGCGTGAACACGCATGCGCGAAGCCTATATTCATGCATATACCTAAGTATTTTGTATATATATATATTGTACATGCATTGATCAGTCGTGCAAACTCGTGTGCATCGCTAATTGCTGACATCTCACGCCTGCTGTCAGCGCAAGACCGCAGCGAAATGTGTGCAGCCGATTGCAGCCGATTGCAGCCTCGTAACGGTGGCAATAAAATGTTAAGATGCAACTGTGGTGAATTGTCAAAACGTCAAACGTCGGATGAAATTTTGATTAATTGCCAGCTGAGGCGTAGGGGACCTATTGCAAAAAAATACATACAAATACATTTGTGTGTATGTGTGTGGGCAACTAATTGCTAATAAAAGTGAAAATAGTCTCTGTGTAAATATCTCTTCTCTCAGAGGCACATTGCAACGCTTGCAACACGCTCCGACTAGCAATCTGTTGCCAACATAAATGCGCACAACTTTTTTTTTGAAAATATCAGATTTTTTTTTTAATTTTTATTAAACATTTTTTTTTGTGTGTTTTGTCGTATTTATTTGCTTTTTATTTTTTTTTTTTTTGAGTATTCAATCAAAATCAAATAAACAAGCTGTCTTTGATAGTTTTGTTTACGACGCACGCATGTGGCATGCCACATGAACAACTTGCAACAGTCGCTGGATATTTATTTCATTTTTAATAAATTGATAGCTACTCCATTTTATTGCCAACGTTAAGGAGACTTTTCAACCCATTCAGAGCTTTCATGCTCTTTCTCGTGATTGGCAGTCACTTTTACTCTAACGGATGTGCGCAGACAATTGTGATTTTAATAAAGACAGCATTATTAGATGAAGTCCACTTTAGACGCATGCGCACTTTTGCTTTTCTAAACACTAGCTAGAAGCTTTTTTTAAAGGGAATATGATTTCCTTAGTTAGTCACCTCTTTCTCTCACTTCGAGGTGGAAGCGAAAATTAGATATGTGATGAAGCATTTTACAATTATATAGACATATTCCTTTATCGGAGATAAGGTATTCATTTCCACAAATCCACAAAAAATCACCACAAGAATGCCTTTTTGCTTTTCTCGTCTATCGCATCTCTCGAGTGTCGGTGATGTCTGATTTCGGATTCACATAAAGCAGACAGCAGAGGAACCTTCTGTCTAAGGGATCACAAATTCCACAAGTACTATCTTATCTGACTTGGACTCAACCTTTTAAATACGCGCGAAAACCAAATCGATAAATTCTTCTCTTTTAGTATGCGTTTGCCAGCTGTTTTTGTACAACACGATAGAACACGATTTTTACCATTAAATAGAATTTAAAATAAATGTGCTTGAAGTTTTGGTTTTCTTATGGAATCGTTGAAAATGTTCCAGAAATATCATCGGGAGTCTACTTTATCACATTTACAAATAATTGAAAAAGTTAAAGAAACAGTGCTTGAAGATCGTCGTGTTGGCATCAGAGAGATAGCAGATAATCTCAACATTCTTTATGGAACGACTTAACACATTTTGTAACAACAGATTTGTCGCATTTTGTCGCAACAGAAAAAACTACGTCAACGTCGGTCAAAAATTATGGTCAAAGTAATCGTTTTCTTTAATTACTGTGGTGTGGTTCACCATGAGCTCATTCCATAGGGTCAAACGGTCAATAAAGAATACTACTTGACCGTTTTGAGACGTCCGATGTTGTCAGTCCCGGAATGTTGTCAGTCCGAGTCATATTTGATCATATGATAGAAATAAAATTTTTCTTTACAAGCATTATAACTCTTTTTCAAATTGTAGTTTTAGATGTTTTTAGTACAACCTCTCTCATATTTTAAACTTGTTAACGCCACTGGAATAATGTATATTTTATATTATGAATATGTACTTTTCCACTCTCTAAAGAACATAGTCATTTATTTGTAGAAAATTTGTACTGAAAATGCAAAGCAATGTTCACTTCCAAATTGCTACGCTTTTCACGGCATAATTTACACATTTTCCATACAAACTAACCAACTTCAATGCTACACATCCATCCATATGTACGATATGTATATACATATATACATATGTAAACTTTACAAAAGCAATGAAAGTAGAACATTTTATTTCATTCTTTTATATTTAAACAACATTATAATTGTTATTATTGTTGTGATTGAAACACACTTTGAACTCTTTGCACTGCGCACATGCGCCAAGCAACACTCACACCTCTATGCTTCCAAGCACAACGAGGTGGCGAGGTGCAGCGCTGAACTTTTCACTCGCTTTCTCCGTGACGCGCGTCTGAACTGTTCTTGGTAGAATACTCTTCTTGATTGTATTATATTGTTGTAGTAAAGATTTTTTATCGGCAACATAACAAACTGTAATGAAAATGAAAANAGAAGTCACGAAAGAACCCTCGAAATTCTTTTTTCTTTTTGTTGTTTTTTTTTTTTTTTTTGTCAATAGAAACTATTTAATACAATAGCTCCTTTGTCCGTGACATCAAAATGTAAACAAAGTATCGTAAAGCGCTTTAAAATGCCAAATAAACATTAATGAATCTCGGGCTAAATTGTTGTCAATTATAGGGGTCACTTTTTCACTCTTGTTCTTTACATGTTTTTTTTCAGTTTTGTATTCTTATGTCGATCAAACGTTGTTACAGTTATGCTAGTCTATGTCAGATTGTATTAGTAGCTTTTAGAATTTATAATATAATACCCAGATAAGAGTTGACGGTATTCATAAGTGAAGTGCTGTGGTTGATTTGTTTGTACTTTGTGCTTTAAGAGAACTTTCTTCTTTTTCAAAACGGAAATAGACTTATAACATATTATAGTTGCTTTGTCTTATTAAGAAATAACAGCTTTAAAACCAGTCGGCCGGATTATACGAGATCGGTCTGATTAGGGTAGCTTTCGAAGGACCCATGAAAATTTTGGAAAAAAAAAACGATTTTTTTTTTACTCTATTTTTAGCTAGGAGTATGTCTGCAAAATAGGCCTCTACTCAAATTACTACCCGGTTAGTAACTTTTCAAGCTAAGAAACAAACAGAAGTCGCCCGGTGCCAAATCACTAGGGATGCTGTGGATGGGGCAGTGAATTGTGGTCAAGCCGTTTCACCGTGGCGACAGCGGAGGTGTTAACCCATGTTATCATAGTGGATTTTCTTCGCTACTTTTGCAAAAAAATATCGTTTTGCCGGCCGTTCAGACAGTTTTCCCCATTTTAGAGCAGATTCGTCGAGTGAAGTTCACTATTTATTATTAACTATTTCTTGGACTCTGAGGGTCAAACATGTTCACGAAGTTTATGGTCAATATAAGACTACGAGTCCAATTCGTCTGAAATTTTACCATCAGCCGTCTACAAGAATACACTACATGCTTGTATACTTTTGAGATAGTGACGGTAACGGACGGTGAGGCTAAGTTCGTACCGACCTCGTACTAGAACCAAACTCATACTAAAACCGACCTTGTTGTAGAAGCGACCTCGTACTAGCAAAATTAAGAGACTTTTGACGTCGTTAGAATAACTTGTCATATTATCCTTATAAAAATTTATATCAAGAATTGAAAAAAAATATTATTTATTAAATAGTTAAATAATATAAAATATTTTTTTTTATGTAAAATTTTTTAATAAAAAAAAAACTCGACTTATATATAATATAATATTTTGATTCACTTCTTCTCTACTCGGCACAGGTCCTCCAAAGAATCGATGATGTGTCATTAATGTGCGACAAACGCATTGCGAGTCTCAAGAAGTTGGCCGTNCCTTTGTCCGCGACATCAATATGTAAACAAAGTATCGTAAAGCGCTTTAAAATGCCAAATAAACATTAATGAATCTCGGACTAAATTGTTGTCAATTATAGGGGTCACTTTTTCACTCTTGTTATTGTCAGTTTTATATTCTTATGTCGATCAAACGTTGTTACAGTTATGCTATTCTATGTCAGATTGTATTAGTAGCTTTTAGAATTTATAATATAATACCCAGATAAGAGTTAACGATATTTATAAGAGAAGTGATGTGGTTGACCTGTTTGTACTTTGTGCTTTAAGAGAACTTTCTTCTTTTTCAAAACGGAAATAGACTTATAACAGTCGGCCGTATAATACGAGATCGGTCCAATAAGGGTAGCTTTCGAAAGACCCATGAAAATTGTGGGAAAAAAGCGATTTTTTTTACTCTACTTTTAGTTAGGAGTAGGTCTGCAAAGTAGACCTCTACTTAAATTACTACCCGGTTAGTAACTTTTTAAGCTAGGAATCAAACAAAAGTTGCACAGTACCAACCCATTTCGACGGGGCGACAGCGGAGGTGTGAACCGATGTTATTATTTTGGGTTTTCTTCGGCACTTCGCTATTCATTTAAAATTTGTCGTCGAGCCGACCTAATAATGTGGCATAGTAGAGCCCTGTAGCATTTGGCCTTCTCTAGGTTGTCCATAAACTCCTCGTAAATCGCAAAAAAATATCGTTTTGCCGGCCGTTTGGACAATTTATCCCATTTTTGAACAGATTCGTCGAGTGAAGTTCACTGTTTTGAATATTTCCAAAATTCTTGTACACGCCCACTTCTTACTAGACCCTAACTCATACTATAACTGACCTCATAGTAGAACCGACTTCGTACTAACAAAATTAAAAGACTATTGACAACGTTTTAATTCATTAATTTAACAATTATTATCCTTATAAAAATGTATTTTAAAGAATTGAAAAAAATTATTATAAATAAAATAATTTAAAAATATATATTTTTTAATTTTTATGTCGAATTTTTTTAATAAAAAATAAATACTCTACTTATCTATTGATTCACTTCTTCTCTACTCTGCACAGGTTCTCCAAAGAATCGATGATGTATCATTAATGTGCGACAAACGCATTGCGAGTCTCAAGAAGTTGGCCGTCAAACCGCAGAGGCCGGTACAAACCGTTACGCCAGAGCCGGCAGTGCCCTTACAACCACAAGGCGGTGCACCCCATCTGTTGCGACGGAAACATAAGGTAAGTACAGCAAATTGAAATTGTTACAAATATATAAAAATAACAACAAAAATCAACAATGAGTAATGGTAATGTCCAGACATGACTTTCTAATATAAAAACAGTTGTTTATTTAATTTCAAATTATGTAGAGCAGCTGCAAGAACAAAATAAATTAGTATTCACTAACCTTTAAGATTATGTATGTATGTGTGTTGTAACAAAAAACGAACAAAAAGCACGTGTTACATGTAGAGTCTACATTTTAGGCCCTAAACACACACATCCATATATATACATTTCTCTACTTTGTAACAGCTTGTTCTCTTTTCACGCTCCGGTGCGGCCACTGGACGCCGCTGGTGGCGGTGGTAGTTAGTTCATTCTTTCTCGTACTATTAAATATTTTTTGTGTGAATCCAAAAAGCATAATTAAATTTATGCACTGGTCAAATGGAAATTTTGTAAAATCATAAGCTCTCAGTACATTTTTAGTTGAGATGCGTACGAGAAGATATGGCTCTGCAGTTAGTATATTTGATAGGCTATAAAATTGTTGTTCTATTTCCGCTTCTTGCTAATATAACAAACATATATATATATATATATATATGCACATATATCCAAGTATGTAACATACATACATACATATGTATGTATACAAGTATTTACAAAAACTAAGTTATGAAAATTGCTGTGTAATAAAAAACATTTAAGATTCTGACCCAGTAAGCAGCGCAAGCAAGAAAACTGGAGCATATGCTTCATTTGAACAAAAAAAAAGTATTTACATATACATATACATATATGTATTTACAAAAGCACATAAGCATTAAATATCTACTTATATTTAATAATAAAAAAAGCCGTTAGGGATAAAAAATAACGGATGTAAATTTTATTATTCACGATTAACATAACCTACAAAATTTTGTCGGCTAATTTTTGATATCATGTTTTGATGTGAACCACATGCCAGTGTGGGTGTTCTGTATCGCCCGGAACAATTGGTAGTCAAACGGGGCAAGGTCTAGGCTAGAAGACGGGGCAGACAAAACTTTATAGCCGCTGTTTTCCATATAGTTTGTAACCGGTCTTGCATCATGAGGCTGAACGTTTTCATGATGGAGAATTATCGCCTCGTATCGAGTCGCGAATTACGGGCGTCTTTTGGCAAACGCACGCATCAATTTGATTAGTTATTATCGGTAAAGTTCCCCATTAATGGACTCGCCCGGTTTTAGAAGCTCATAATACAGCACGTCCTTCTGATCCCACCAAATACGAAGCATGACCTTGACGGCATGTATATTCGGCTTTGCCGTCGATTTGGCCATGTTTCAAATATCATTTTATACATTGCAATCCGATGCAAAAACGACTTCCTTTTATAGTTTTCAAACAGCGCTTGCGAAATCACTTGAGAGCTCACACTTTCAGATATACCACTGAGCTCGTCGGATATGAAATTAAACACCTAAGTATATTTGTAATGGCTCAAGGTGCACTATCGACCTATCAGATCGGATACAGTAGCGCTATTTTATGGCTTCACAAAGGACTACATATAGTAGTCCAAGTGCCATCTTGAGGATCAGCCATTGAACCTTATCCAACGTAACCTATATCAAAAGATGTTAAATCCTATTGGGCAAAGTGCTGTGGACTGCTTCAAGCAATGAAAATGGCTTGCCTTATCAGAATTTAGATACAGTTTTTTTTAATGTCCTATAGCAGATAGTGGCTTGCATGTTTTAAAGTTATGATTTCTAAGTTTGAGTGAAAATATTCGTTATCTTTATATTTCAAACTTAGGAGTCTTAATAAGATGTTTCAATGAAGAAAAAAAAAAACTCAAGTTGAATTGAAATCATTCAAGCGCTTAGTCAGCTTAAAACTAAAATCTTTTCAGTTTTATTTTTATTTTCTTTTTTTTACAAAGTACGCAAACCTTTTTCATATTTTTTGATGTATACATCTATTTTTAAGAGTAACATTTCACATTTTTCATTGACGCACAACAACAAGTAGTACTGACCGCGATAACTCCTTCTTTTTCTTGCTGTGGCCTATGAGTAAGACAAATTCTTCAATTGTTGTTATTATTACAAATTATATTTATATATTCATTCTACAAATTGTTCCACACTTACTTTAATAAATATGCTTCTGAACGAGCGAAAAAATTGCTTACTTCTTGTAAACAAATTAATTTCTTTTTGTGTAATATGTCACTGTATCTCAAAAAGACTCATACTTGTGGCACTGCAGCGGTCAGTTCAGACATTTTTTCACGGCTTCAGTGACTTATGCTGTGTGCTGTTGACCCAGTTAATAACAATAGTACAATAATGGTAGTCATAACTTGTAGTCTCATATATGATTTGAGAAATTTATATAGTAATAACATAAACAAAATGACCAGGCCAATAGTGCTGGCGGCTGGTTGCGGTCAGTGACATTGCACATTTTCACAAACTTCTTTTCTTTTTTTTTGTTGCTCTTTTTTCTTCTAGACAATATGACAGCCCAGTTTCAATGTTTCTCGCTTTCTTCGAGACTCTTGCTCTTACTTAGTGTTGTTTTAGTAAAAAGTAAATAGTCGAGAGATAGTGTAAAGCTGTGTAAAGAACTGCGGGAACTACTCTGCCATATTCTAAACTTCCGCACTTAAGCTTAGAAGATGCTAAGACTGTCTGTCATGCTTAGTAAAGTTGTCAAACGCTGTCATTTGGTGAATAAATGCTTGAAGATGATTTGTATACTTAGAGACATGTATGTATATATATGCACATAAGTATATATACAAATACGTAGTGTTAGCCATCACTTCAACTAGTTGGTTTATTATTTTTTCGGTCATCACTGAGCAATTAGTGCTGCTTTCATCATTAAGCGGCTGCAACTGCAACATATACTATATATGTTTTATACATACATATGTACGTATACGATTTCATTTTTCATATTTTACCTACATATTTCATTCAAATGTACATATATGTATGTATGTATATATACGTATAACGTCGTAGATTTCGTATATCATATCAACATTATCACCACATTGCCACTTTAGTGGCATTATTTGTCATTTTACTCACTCGCATTTGCCAGTCACTGCAACTGAAACAGTTAATTGTTAACTTGAACTTGAGTGTCACACATACACCCATATGGGCACATATGAGAGCTGCCGCCAGCCAGTGCGTGGGTACTTTCCGGCTTTCTTGCCCAAGCTGGAAAATGTCTTGCCTTGAAGAGATGGTATTACCTATGATACATTCATGTATGTATGCCTGTGAAAATCTGACATTTACCGCAGATTAATGATAAGTATTTACTTGAATTCACACCTATAGTTACATTTAAGAAGGATTTGTATGCGAAGAATTTTGTTAGACAACAGCATTTTTGCTACTATCTTTTGCTGTTGCTTTCCACAATTTCAAAAATGTTAACTGAAATTAGAGTGTTAAAAATTAGATCGCCTCAAAAATACTATTTAATTACCGAATCGAATATTTTGTTTTAAGTATTGTATAATTATGAAAACATATGGCACTACTGAATGTTTCAGTTATGTGCTGCCAAAAAGGATTCTAAAAGGTATCTTAGTTGTAGTACATATACCATGAAATATACCTTGTAATCTAGCCTGATCTGTCAAAGTGTCCTTAACCACTTTTAAGCCGACAAAACGGCAAAATGTAATTCTATAAACCATCTGATCAAATTTTACCTAAACTGACTAAACAAACATTCTAACGAATTTTAATATAAATCTTTCGAAATAGGCTCATTTTGAGCCAATAAAAGCGTAACCTACTTTATATACATTTGTCATAAGTTTCGGCTGGAATGGTCTTCAGTGCCTTCCACAAATTTTAGTTTTTCGGTTTTGACTCATTCGCTAGATTATGGGACAGTTTCGGCGTCATGTTCGTAAACCAACGTCTCGTCACCATTAACGATGCGTTTGATGAATGTAGGGTTCTCAGCTACGTTGTCAAGCGGAGAGCAGTTTTTTTGTGACCTCACCTCGACGTCGTTTTGCAAAAGATTTAGGTCTTTTGGTCTAACATTGATACACTTCATACCCAAAACATTAACCAAAATGAGTTTAGTCCGCTATCTTCCGCTTCTCCGCTATCTCTCTGATGCCAACACACAATGATTACCAAGAACTGTTTCTTTAACTTTTTCGGTGTTATCATCATTAACAGAGGTGGACGGATTTCCCAAAACACTTCATTTTCAATGATTCCGTGGACTTCAACTCTTTTAGTTAAACTTTTGTAGTATAAAATACTTTCATATGACAATGATGATCGGATTGTTGAGAAACTGTTTAGAATTTATTGAGTTTTGAGAGAGCATTAATATTTGCATTAACTTGTTAAAAATTTGAATAAATAGTTATTTACGTTTATAGAACTATTAAGGCACGACTTAGCCAAGAAACCTATTTCAAGGAGTTGGCGGCTGACTTTTACATATCTGCTTCTCAGCATCGTGCTAATTGTAAATACAACGCCAAACTTATGCTTTTAAAGTGTTAATGAAAATACAGATGTGTCTAGCGGCAGTAACTAGGGTATATACAATATATATTATATACAAATATATATAGACGACTTTAATACTATGCAAATACCAACAAAATTAGCTTTTCTGCAAGATAACAAATTACCTTATGCACAATCCTAAATTTTCGCAAATAAATTTCACTTTTAACCGCGGCAACATTTCACCTTTAAGTATGTACAATCTGTGATCGAGCCCCGTACTATCCTATAGTATCTCGATGTTAGCTAAACAGAAAACACCAACAAATGAGGCGAAAACCGCGTGGTGACAAATAATAAAAAAATTATTTTAGTTTGAGGTTAAGTAAATGGAGTTCAAATGTATGCCGACTGGCAGGGTTACCACGCGACTGCAACGACTTCGTTTGCCCTTTATTGTTTCACGCAAATATTCAGCATTCGCATATAAATTTGTTTTATTTAAAACAACAG